CACGAATATAAAAAACCAACATGTACTAAAACAAAACAAAAAGTGAGAAAACAGGTAAAATGAAAAAAAAAAATCACATTTAACTTCTTTTTTTTTTTCATATTTCAGAAAATTCGTGGTCATTCGAAATATGATATGAACGTTAACTGAAGTATTCAACGAATGCATCTTTGTTTCCAAGGACTAGAAACCGCATACAAACACTGAAGAGAGATACTGAAAAATCAAATCAAATTTTAAAATAAGGAACTACACTTCCTCTTTACAGCTTTGTAGTGCCCCCTACCTTGATCTTCTGGGTGGGATATGGCTATTAGTGTCATTTCTTTCTTTCGTTACCTTATTCTTATTCTTTTTCGTTTTCGTTTTTCCTTCTTTCTTTCTTCCTTTTTCTTTCTTTCTTTCTTTTCTTTGTTTCTTTGTTTCTTTGTTTCTTTTTTTTATCACTATATTTCTTTTTTTTTTCCTTTTTTACTTCCCCAATCATCCATTCCATTTTGTTATCATTTTTTTCCATTTTCTGGCTTTTTCTTTTCGGAATTAATAAGGGAGGCTTATTCTATTTATCAATTTTGCGACGAGATTTGGTACGAGATTTCATAGTGCCCATGACGTTTTCATCAAGTATCCTCGTTCTTCGTTTCTCAACCTCTTTTTCGACCAACTGTTTCAAATGAGTCAACCTTTTCATAAAGTTCTCTGTAATAACGATTGGGCATACAACTCAAACAAATAATTATATTTTCATGAGATAGACACGCGATTAGCATGGGTCGCATTATCTTCCATAATGCACAAAAAGAATGAAGTATATTTCAAAGTATTTTATTTATTTGCTAATTTTATTCCAAACTTTCATGTGGGTCTTTAGCTCTCGTCGGTAGTCCAAGGAAAATTAATTTACAATCAAGGTTTTATGTCGCTAGTTTAACATTCATTGATACGGTTACTAAAGTCCTCATGACGCCGGATCTGTATTCATTTTAAAATCATATCCATCTAAATCCCGGGGTATTTAATTAGTGAATAGAACATCAGCTCAAGTTAGCTTGTCTTGATGTTTATAGAATGAACTAACTAAAGAAGGAGTAAAATAAGGACGAGAGGAAGAAAGGAAGGAACGAAGGACAAGAGAATGACCGGAGATATGAATGAACAGATGGAATTTTGAATGGACATAAGATCATAAATAGCCAATAAAAAATGACGTAAATTAACGCAAAAGATTTAACAAAGAAAAAATAATAGATAAAAGAAGAAGAAAAACAAAAACAAAAAAGAAAATCATTCTTACCATACAACATTCGAGCTTGGTGTAAAAATAGAATACGCCTTTACGGTCAATGAATACGCCCATCAAGTAAAAATGCGAAAATCCATTAAAGGATAATAGAGTCATTAGAAGGTTTTAATCAGAATTTAGTAGAACAAGCGATGCGTTGCAGCCCACAGAATGTCATTTAACAAAAGAGTAAACAAACGATTAAGATACAATTAGCAGGTGCAACTGACGCCTAACGCCAAAGCGCTTCAAATTATTCTTTAGCTTTTGATTATCACTCCAAGGAACTCCCACGAGTACTTTTGCTTTCACCAAGCGATGTCCTTGATGGTCTTATAACCCAAGATACGAATCTACAAGACTGATATGCAGAACAAATTGGACACAGAGATTAAGAGAAAGAAAGGAAGAAATGAATAATTAGGATAAAAGGAATGAAGAG